CCAGAGGAACAGGGCTCCCCTGGGCAGGGGCAGAGGGTAGAGTTGTAGGATGGGGGAGGGGCAGGCAGCAGCCTGGGCAGGAGAGACCTGGGCCCCAGAGTCAGGGCCCTGGAGCCCTGGGGAGGACCCTGCTATCAGTGCTGCCCTCCTCTCCCACTTACTCCCTCTGGTAACCACCCCCACATTTCCTCTGGGGAAAGGGACATCATGGTGCCTGGGTGATGGGCTATGGCAACTCCCCAGGAGATGGAGCAGGAGGTGGGATGGACGATGAGAGAAAGCACTGCCCTGCCTGGGCTTCCCTCTTCTTTATTGGCCCCTCCTGGGTTCAGGCATCTGCAGGTGACCAGGCTGCTCCACGTCCCTGGACACCCAGATGAGTACAGAGTGGATGGGAGCCAGTGTCCGTCTAACAGGGTCGACCCCAGACCCATTCCTGAAGTTGATGGGATACACAGTTTCTAAACAGATGGGACAACTATTTCCAGATAAACTAGGTTCTCCGAGTCATATACAGAAGGACTCAAATATTTACTTCTTTCCAAGTATTAAGAAACAATTAGGTCTTAATTCTTGGAATGTCTTGGTCACCTAATTTGATCCTGATGAATAACCCAGGACTCAAGCCCCAAGGCCAAACTGAACTCAACCCGTGGAGACACATGCAGAATCCAGTGCTTGGGTCCTTCCCCGTTAGTGAAGAAGTATTCTCCAGTGTCAATGCAGACAGAGAGCCCGGGGCTCACAGCCACAGCTTTCCCCAATAAGGGAATGGTTCCCATTGGTGGTGGTGGTGGTGGTGGTGGTGTGTGTCTGTGTGTGTGTGTGTGTGTGCACACAATATAGTTACATGCTGGCTGGATGACACACAGGTGATGGACACGTTGAAAATACGTGAATAAACATTTGTGGATGAATTGACAAAAGATGAATGAAAAGATATTAACAAATTGGATGAATGGAAAGCCGGATAGATGAATGGATCAGAAGACATACAGCTATACTAGGATCATAATGGAGACACAATCTTGAAAACCTGAAAGAGTGGACTATTGTTGTGGTTGTAATTTAACAAGCTTCAAATCAACCCGGATGGGTGAGTTGTGATACCATTCTGAAACTCTGTACTTATCCTCCCATCCACCTGATTAAAGATGGCCACTACTTGGGAATCCATGGAGTGCTTACATCCCTAAAATACATCTGAAAACAAGAAGAGCAAAGTGTTAAGTTTTGGAAGAGATTATTCACAATGCTCTTACTGGACTTTTTTGACCTTTGAGGTATTTCACAATAAAAAAGGAAAAATGGAATTCCCAGTTTTATCCCAGCTTCCTTTGGCTGACAGATCATGTTTAGGTGTTTTCTCTTGGGCAGGAGGTCAGGGGACCTGATGATGCCCAGGACCAAGTACACAGAGGCGGTCCACTAGCATGGAGGCCCCTACCATGTTCGACGTGGTCTCCAAGAGCTGTCTTCTGTCTTCTGGCGCAGACAGTGAACCATGACCACTGACGTGGTGGTTTTGCACCCAGCAGTCACAGCGACCTGCTGCAGAGATCAGAGGAACCAGCAGAGCTCAAGAGCAAGGTCCCTTCCCTCCCACAATGTGGACAGAGGTGGGCAAGTTCTGAAGGCAGCAGCGGGTGGCCCCACATCCTTTAGGCCAGCAGGTGGGGCTCAGGGTTGCACAGAACTACCTCCTACTGACTGGAACTGTGGCCTGGGCCAGTTACATAACATCTGTGCCTCTATTAGCTTCTCTCTGTTAAAACTGGCAAATGCCATCTAGAACCGCATAAACACCCCCCAAAATGGCACAATGTTCTCAAGGTTGAATGCCTCAGGAGAGTCATTTGAAGTGGGTGTTAAGAGCTTGAAAAACAAAATTCCTTTGCTTTCAAATCTCACCCCCTCCACTTTGTAGCCATTTGGCTTAGAGAAAGCCACTTAATCTCTTTGTATCTTGGTTTCCCCACCCATAGATGGGGACAATGATTGCACTTATCTTAGGAAAAAAAAAAGAGTTCAGATTTGTGAAGTGCTGAGGTGTATCCCGAGTCTCCCACACACTGGAACTTGTGCAGAATTCCAGGAACCCTGGTGGAATGTGGTTTAAACCTGACCCTAAAGCAGCCCTTCTCCCTTCAGTGACCACGGAGCGTCTCTGTCAAATATGACCACAAGAAGAGCTCTCCCAAGGACTCCAGTAGAGCTGAGGAAGGGGCACAAGAACTGTCCAGGGTGAAGCCTACTGCAGCCAGTGGCTTGTTATCCTTCTTGAGCAGCACAGTCGTGACAGCCACTCTCAGAAATGGTCCTGTGGAAGAGGTTCTTGGGCAGGGGAGATAACACCTGGCAAGGGCGTGGAGAGGAGGAGGCTCATGCTCATGAGGAGGGGTCAGCAACTCACTCGCTCTTTCAGCCTCCCTCTACCTGCTCCCTCCCCGACCACTCACCTGGAGAGTCTGTGGGTGAGGGGACATGGCAGCTCCTCACCTGTCCTGCCTGCTAACCAGCCTCTGCTGGATCCCAGCTTCCCAAGGGACCCTGAGCAGGATGAAGCCAGAGCCCAGAGACAGGACAGAACAGAAAGTGTATGGCGCAGGCTCACCATTACCACCCAACCCCAGGTGGACACCCCCGCGCTCCCACCCACAATTCCACATTGGCCTTCCCATGACTCAGAATTCATCATAAGCAAAGTGATCGTGGAGGCCCATAAAAATGTGTAAGAATTCTCACACTGTTTATAGTGGTAAAATTTTGAATAACTCAAGTGTCTGATTATCTAATGTAATTAGTCATCTAATATGATTAGGTAAAAAACTAATTTTTTTTCATTCTTATCATGGACGATTAGATCATCTTCCAAGAGTGCTGTGTAAAACGCTTCATGTTTAGGGAACTATTGAAGTTATGCTGCAATATTACAGGGACTTTTTTGTATTAAAAATAATGTAGATGAGAAAATGATTGTATGATAGATGATAGACAAAAATGTAAAAAAAAAACAGTAGACAAATAAATATCTAAATATGTACAGTGACTACCCTTGGGTGATCAAAATGCAGATGATGTTTTCTTCCTTCAGTTTCTCCATCGTTTTTATTTTTCTCTACTTTTATATATATATACATAAATTTTATGTAGTTGAATACTCTACTCAATTATGTAATCAATTGATGTTTGAAAAGGACAGCAATCCTGTGGATACTCTGCTCAACTCTGGGGCAGATGGAGAATTTCTGGTGGCTCCCAGCACCTTCAATAGCTTCCCTCAGTGTCCCCCACAGCCCCAGTCCCCAAAGTGGCAAGGCTTCTCACACACCCAGGAGGGTCTGTGACCCACATTCCATGAACCCTCCCTCCCCATTCCACATTCCATCCCTTCCCCCTTCACTCACCTCCCTCAGCTCAAATGCCCCTCATTCCCGGAGACTGATGAACTCCCTCTTGGGCATGAACTAAACATCAGAAAAACTCAGATGAAGACCTGGCCTTCTGTTGGTACGCCAGCCCCTTGCCCCCCCCACCCCCAACATGTAGATCTGCCTTGGAGCCCAACAAGAACAAGGACCCTCCACACAACTCCTGTCCTTGGCCCTTCTCATTGTAATTATGTCCACCCCTACTTCCCAACAGAAGTGAGCTGAGTCCTGGTGTTAAAATGACTGGGGAGGGGACAGAGAACTCAGTCCAGTGAGAGGAGGAGGAAGGTCACTATCACAGACCCAGCTAGAGAGGTTGCTGGCCCCAGGACATAAAGCTGAGCTCCGAGCTTCCTGGAGGCCAAGAGGGTCTGGACCTTGGCTCCCCACCATTTGAAGCTGGACAGTGAGCAGAGTCGCCCCTGAATCCAAATTTATAACCAAAGGAGACTGTGGCTGGATCCACCCGTCTCCAAGAGGTTCACAGTTGGTCAGGTGCCCACAGCACTCACAAGAACAGAGACACTGTCTCCTCCTGCTGACTCTCCAAAGATGGTCACAGAGCCTGGGTCCCCTCTAAAGTTGGCAATGTTGTCCTGGACCCAGCGCAGACCAGCCACCTGGTCCAGGTGACCCCAGTTCCCTGGGCTGTGCTCATCCCCGGTGCTG